AAAAAAAACTCTAAAAAAGAGAAAAATGAACAAAAAAAAGTTAGGATATACATACCAAGCACTGATTCTTTTTAAAAAATGCCATTATAACTGGGTAAATATGGGGTTTTAGCAGAATCAGACTCTCGGCGAGCTTTACACCTCACGCTAACTCACATGTAGATAAGCTGTTTTCCTGTAGCAATTGAAGTAGCTCCATATCATTTGTGCCATTGGGTGACTGTTGAAAATCAGAGGGGTAGATGGGTGGGCAATGCCAGGAGAACCACCCTACCGAGATGCATGCATCATATGACCTTTTTTTTTTCCAGGTATGGGTGGGTGGAATGCAACTTAAGGTTAGGAACATACCTTCTGTCCCACCAAATCAGCCCAGAGATATGTAGTTTCCTGCCACCTGCCTAGGAATCTTCTTGACTAAACATTCCTAGGCAGATAGGACAGAAACTGAGTTGACTGAGCCCCTGGTGGGCTATTTTACGTGTCTGATGGGTTGAACTCCGCTCGCACTGGCCAATGGAAAGCAAACCCATGCACAAAATGTACCCCTGTTGGTGACCTGTGAAACCTACTTATATGTTTACATAGAAACTATTTTAAACTGACAGATTAGCACAACTGCAGTAGACAGGTTTCCAATCCTATTCCTTGCAGATGTGAACTTGAGGTAGAAACAATTCTTCATTCCAGTGAAATTTAGGATATTCTCCAGAATCACATTTGCCTCTGCATGGATGCAGATGTGGCCTAATGCCTGTCAGAACATGTGGAATAATGCATGGGAGAACACAATGACCCATAGATTCAGGCATATGAATTTTATGGAGTTAGTCATATAGGTAGAAATCATCAGGGATATAATGTCCTGATTATGGGATCCTTCTTACAAGTATCCTGTGGATAATCATACTTGATATAACATTGTATGGCATATGCCTCTATGGGAGTCATTCTCAAAAAACTCTGGTAAAGATAACAAATCTGGAAGTTTAAGTACCAGAGTTCCATGTTGTAAAACAGTCACTGGATCATCCTTTCACAAGAAATATGTCTAATGAATTATTTGGAGAACAAGGCTGTGAAAGCAGTATGAAGAAGGTGATGTTGGGAGCCCTAGTGATATGTATGAGAAATTAATATCTTGACCTAGTTCCCATTAACAAGTATTTGGAGTTTAAGCCAACCTAAGTCCCAAGCCTAAACCTTGTTCCATAGATAAACAGCTGCTAAGATTAGAGCACATTCGTTCAGGGATGGGCAATGTTTTGGTGGCAAGGACCACCAAACATTTTTGGGGAGCCCAAGGCCCACAATACATGGGTGAGCCATGTGGATAGGGATGGAATGGGGGCGGGTCTTTGCTTTTTAATTGTGAGATATCTATTTTCGGTCTTATAATACAATTTTTAATCTGTTTCCAAGCTCCAAATGGCAGGAAGTGTTGCTGTCATTTTTCAGCAGTCATGGTTATAAGGCCACAAAAAGAAGACTTGGGGACCATTCGTGGTCTTGAAGGTGCAGGTTGATCACCCCTGATCTGTGTCTTCTTGGTATCACAACCTTTATGTGAAATCTTGGTTGCTGATATATTACTTTACCCTTACAAGCAAAAAAGTGATACAGTTTGGGGGATAAGGGTCCCATACCATGGATTTCAAGGAGACCCAACTGGCTGAAACCCATATTCTTTAATCTTATTGATCAGAGCCAACATACTCCAAAACTTAAGAAATAGGGAAGGGGTTAGCGTCATCAAACATGAGCAACGAAATGGGGCTTCTGGTGATCACTGCTGAAGGATTGGAAATGGTTTTTACTAGAGCCACTGTTTGGCCAGAACAGAATAAGAAAAGACTAGAATATGAAATATGCAACAAATATTACTGAAAGAATTCCACTTGGAGCCTTTCAGGTTTTTTTTGTTGGTAATTTATCCAGGTTTTTGAACGATGTGTTTGATATAATGGTGTTTATATACGCTCTAAGGCATTTTCAGGACATGCTTTTTATTAAAATGCTCTATGTAAAGGTAATAATTGTAATGCAACTTGTGTGTATGAAGGGTTCAAATCTATTTTGTTCTGTTTAGATAAGTTGTAGGCCAACATCTGTCCAGGCTTGAAATCCTCAGACTGCTTACTCCAGGGTAGTCCCACTATGAAGATGAATTTGTGTCTAAGTCATAAAAATAGCCACATGAATTCTACTAAGAAAATTCAGAAAGCTTCAGATAGGCTTTCAGAGGAAAAACAAAAGTGCTAATTCATGAGTAGCTGACAGGGTGGTCCTTGGAGGGGGGGGGACATTAAATGTCAAGATGGTAGCCATGACCATGTGATCCAAGCCCTGCCCATTTTAAAATGTATATTGGAGCACACATAAAAAGGGCAGGATTTTCTGTGGCCTGGCCATCCCTGTGACTTTTTTTTCAGTATCTGAGCTGAATCGTTAAAGTAACTGAGCTAAGTCGTTTAAAAAAAAATATTGGCATGGCGGATAGAACTCCTAAGTCATCTTTAAGGAAACCATGTCCAATCCATTCTTCATGAAAGAATGGATCTTAAGAAGCAGTACCCTTTCTCCTAAAAAGAACGGAATGTTGCTATCAAGGTCACATGCCAAGAACTCCATGTAAGCTTGGATTTTTCATTGGATTTAAAACACATTGAAATAAGAAGAATTTTAGTCTGACCTAGTGAGTTTTGAATGGCATTCTGAGTTTCTTATTCCTCAAGATATGACAAATTACGGAGAATAAGTCTCTTTGAATGCTAGCTACTAACAGCAATTTTTTCTTACAATGTTTAAGAGGGCATTCAAAGTCCTTGGCTAATAATGATCGGATCCATGTAAATAGAGTGAAAAGCTTTCTTCAGAATCCTCTAAAACAGTGTTTCTCAATCTTGGCAACTTTAAGACCTGTGGACTTCAACTCCCAGAATCCCCCAGCCAGCAACGCTGGCTGGGGAATTCTGGGAGTTGAAGTCCACAGGTCTTAAAGTTGCCAAGGTTGAGAAATACTGCTCTAGAACATTCAGATGTCCAGCAGAAGGTGTCTACAACTAGACAGTTTGGAAATCTCTACCCTAACTCCTAACTAGTATAAATCTCCTTGTACTGTCTGTTGATAGCTTTAGCCATGAGTTCCTTGTGGACTCAGAACTTTCACTTCAAAATGGTTTGTTATTTTTGGGGGATTTTTTTGCTTTTGTTTTTAATATAATGTAGGGTTGTGACAATCTGTCATTTTGCCACCCAGTGGGTAAAAACTGGACAACTCCTTTTAGTAGTTTGAAGGTGATTTTTTTTTTCCTGCTAGGGTGTTGACAGCTGTCAGGGTGGGAAGGAAATGTTCTTTTCAACATTAGGCAATTTGTAAATAGATTTCTTTTCTTTTCCTTTTTATCCTTAAAAAAAAATAATAATCATCATTTGTCTTGCAAAGTCCAGTTGTTTACCCACCAAGAACTAGATGGGACTGAAATGAACATGCTCATGCCTTTAAGAAATAAAGGAAAAAATAATATTGCTGTTTTATAAAGTACTTGGTTCTTAATGTGAATATCTTGAAATTTGTTAAGGATACTGTCCTGTATTAAACATGTAAAATAATATTTGTCTAAGTAGAGATAACAAAACTAAGGAAAGATTGCCCCACATGGGAACTTATTCATGTCTGGAGATCTGTTGTAACTCAATAACCAATTTGTTAATGATGTTGTACATTCAATAGAAGTTTTTGGGGAGGAAGC